ACAACCTCCTCCCCCCCAGCATGGATGCAATGATACTGATAGAAATGTGCTTATACTGGCATACCTTATTGCTACTGGTATAACTGTGCCTACATTAGAGGTTATATTGGTATAACTATATTATTTAAAAAATTACACCCTTAACATATTTACTCTGGTAACTAAGTGTAGACAAGGCTTACTATTAATAAAACCCAAACACTATAACACTCCTGAGCAATGAATTATACTGAACAATGGGCTGTTGCCTGATAAACAGTCCTTTCTTTTGCAAATGAGTATGGGCTGTCAGCAAAAGAGCAAACTGCAGAGTGAAGGGGACTTACTCAGGAAAGGAACTCAGAATGGGGAAAATTGCAACAAACTGTCAGACTTTTCAAGTGAAAGCTGGAAACAATATATTTTTAATAAAAGGACAGTTACTCTAATTGCTGCACCCTACTGTTCAATTTCTTTTTATGCCCCTGTTCATTAAGTTCTGCATACTCGCACTTATTATTTACAGATGTATTCATTTTCAGCTTGCTTATACAAAACGTGCTCTGCAAAAGGTAGTGAGTGAGGCTACACTCACCAATTGGTAAGTGTTTATTGCTGCCTGTAATATGCAATTTTTAAAACAAACAAACAAAAAACAACTCAGTTCATCGATGGAGGCAAGCCCTATATTCCCTGTGAAAAGTGAAGTAATCTTACTGCAGCCTGACTTTAAAGGTAATAGGCGGTTTGTAGTGGATTGATGTCATACAGTGTAATGAGGCACATACCTGCTCTTAAACATTTTAATTTAGGGATCTAAAGGTGCAGCAGTTCAGCTTCTGCAGTAACCCATTTAAACAGCTGTGACGCAGTTTCTAATTACCCTTGTAAATGGCCATGCAAAAGAAGGTATATGTAACAGTGTGGCTCACCCCTTAAGGGCTGGGGCTAGCCAACCCTGATTACAGAATGAGTCACACCTGGGAGAGAGCAGAGTAGCTCTGTAAGGAGCAGCAGAAAGCTACAAGGAGGAAGTGGGCACCTGAGCTCAGGAAATTGTAGAGAAACTGTAGGGAGTGTTGCTGAGATGACCTGAGACCAAGGGAGGGGGGAGCTCCTGTGGGGAAGGCTGCAGTTAGAAGGCTAAGTTGCAGCTAGGAAGCACTGGGAGGATGGGCTGTGACAAGAGTGGGACCAAAGAAGAGCTCTGCCTGTGAGAGAAGACACCAGAGCTAAGTATGGGCTTTTATGTCGTGATGGGCAGTAGTTTGGGACCCTGAGGACTGTTGAGAACTATTTCTGTTACTAAACTGGCCCCAGCAGAGGTACTCTTAGTCTTCTGTTACTAAATGAGCCGCAGGCATGGGGGTGTTGTACATGTGGAAGCTGTGTGCAGTTCTTGGAGCCCATTAAAAGGGGCAAGGTGCCTATAAAGCAACCCCTTGGTTGGAAGGGGTGCTCAGTAAATGGCCACCCTGCTACTGTATGTAAATCCATGTCATCCAGCAGAGTCCCTGCAATCCAAAGGATGATCTGTTTTTTAGATGCTTCTGTATCTACCTGTAATACTACTTTGATCACAGCATTAGCGTTGGTTGAGTCAGTGTATTGATTTCAGGATTAAAAAATACCCCAATGTTTAACACTTCCTACGGTAAACAGTCATAACATTTGAGAAGTAAAATGGCTTGAAATATTACCTAACAAGTCCATTTTACTACTTTTATGATTAGAACACTACAGTTTTATTTTTGTCTAAGTGATACTGGACAACTATGTAATGAATTAAAGATATTAAAACTCCCATATTCTCTCTGGCTCCAAGCCAGGATAAGAGGCATTATAAATAATGTTATATGAGGACTATCTAGGAAGGAATTTAAACTATATTTATGGTACACATGTTAACACCCAAAACTAATAAAAACTTATACTGGAGATTAGATCCAAAGAATATATCCCTGGTTTAAAGTAGTACTCCAGATTATTCTGTTTCATGCTTAAAATATGTAGCCTTCTTAGGAAGAACTGATACAGATACAGAGCTTTTGAAGATAAAAGAAAAAGGCTCCAAACATTATAAAACATTTATGGTTAATAGAAAGAGACTTTCTTACATGGAGAGGGCGGGGGGAGGTGAGATGGGGAATCTGCACCCTCTAGTCACAAGTCCATTTCCCTTGTGATTTTAGTTTATCATCAAAGATATTGTGCAGATTCTTCTCTCATTTAGATGGCTGCGAATCAGGAGTAACTCATCAAAGACAGTGGAGCTACAACTGTGTAAAACAGGTGTGAGAAGATAATTGGACCCATTTTATGTTTTAAATGTCTTGTCCTGCATTACCCATCATCTGGTAATTGATCCTGCAGGGAAATCATGCTGAATTTGGGACATCCTACTCCTATAAAGGCCATTGCAATAGACTCTAATGTTTTAAAGTACAAAAGGGCCAGATTCTCAGCTGCTGTAAATCATTATAGCTCCTTGGACTTCTCTGGAGCGACACACTTTATTCCAGTTGAGGATTTGGCCCTATGAGGTCACCAGCGAAACTAAGGACGAGGAACTGGGTTGTGGGCTGCTTATTAAAAAATAAAATCTTATATATCAATAGCAACACCACAAAATTGCTTTTCATAAGATATCTTTTTTTCAACTTTGTACAGGTTTAGAATTAACACTTCTGAATTGTGGCACTTTTTGTGATCTGAGCCAGGTTAAAATCACGGCGGGGAGGGCAACAACCCTCAGAACCAGTATGTTCAGGATTTTTTTCCATTATTTTCCATAAAATTTAAACTTTCACTTCAGTTTTTTTTTCTTTTTCCTCTGTGAAGATAGACCCCTCGTTCAAACTGATGAGCTGCTGCCCTGTCAGCTCAGCTTTACCTGCCAGCCCATTGGCTCACAGGCTGGTGACCTCAGTGATGAACCTTTGTTGTTTACTTGATCATTTAAATAGCAAGAGCCACATTCTGCCTTCTGTTAAAATCCCATGCAACCCTATTAACTCCCCCATGATGGGCTGCATGCAGATTTTGTCCCTATCATTGGCAAGTCATGCCTACCTTAGAGAAATGTGTTCAAGTGTAACTGCATCAGTGTACTTACTCAAGGACAAAGCCCAAATGGAGATCTGCTGCACCATTGTAAATGTAGAAAACGGCTGTGGTATGTTACACTGGTATTAGCTCTGCTTTAGGCCAGGTTTACACTGAAAACTTAGGTTGACCCGGCTACATCATGTGGGGTGTGAAAAATCTACACCTCTGAGTGATGTAGTTAAGCCAACCTAACCCCTGGTTTATACAGTGCTAGGTCGATGGAAGAACTGCCTCTCAGAGAGGTGGATTAACTACCGCAGCAGGAACCCCTCCCGTCTCTACAGTGAGTGTCTGTGCTGAAGCGTTACAGCAGCACAGCTGCAGCTGTAGCATTTCTAATGAAGGCTCTGTTTACACTACAAAGTTAGCTTGACGTAAGTTGTGCGTGAGTCTACACTTAGTTTTGTCTCCCTCCTACGTAAATGCCCCATTACGACAATGCAGTAACACCACCTCCCCGAGCGGCTTTGAGCCATGGTCCATGTACTGAGGTTGACGCAATGTAAGTGCATATACTGCGTTACTTATGTTGATCCTAACGATCAACGGTGCTCCAGCAGCTGTCCCACAATGCCCAACATTGATCGCTCTGATCATAATTATGAACTCCACTGCCCATGGGTCCCAGAGACCTGAAGGCCCCTCCCCCCACCCTTTTAAAACCCCACCATTTTTTTAATGCCTTTTCTTGATTGTCCAGCTTGGCGAGTACACCTAGCAACTCTCCACTGTTGCATGCAACCACCCAGCTGACCGTGCCAGCTCCATGCTCCAGACTCTCTCTGGCATGGAGTACACAGGAGATACTGGATCTCCTGGGCCTGTGGGGGGAAGAGGCTGTGCAAACACAACTGTGCACCAGCCATAGAAATGTGGATAGCTATGAGCAGATTGCACAGGGGATGCCGGAGAAGGGGTACGATAGGGACCAGCAGCAGTGCCACATGAAAGCGAAAGAACTGCGGCAGGCATACTGGAAGGCCAGTTTTGCCACAGACCTGCTGCTTTGACAAAGAGCTGCATGCTGTAGATGGTGGAGATCCCACCACTGCCCTGGAGACCACTGTGGATATTTCCTGGGAGCCCAAAGGCCCTGGCATGAACAGTGAGGAGGAGGTGGAGGACGACGAGGAGGAAGATGGGGGACACATGATCAGGGGTTCCAGCTATGCTGCGAGTCAGAATCTGTTTGAGACTCCACCACAGTCCAGTCAGTCCCGGCATTCGAATATGGGCGACCCCTGTGCAGTGGAAAGATCCTCTGGTAAGTCTGTATGTTTATTTACCATTATTGTGATGGCATCCCCAACTTGACAGAAAACAGCTGTCAACTTCTTATTAATTTACTCATACTATAAGAGGTAGTGGTACAACAAAGAGAGGTAGCGTTACCTGCTTTTCATTCCACTCTATTGCTAGGTGGGAGGAGAGGGGGGGAAATGCGGAGCAGGGTTGTTGTTTTTTTGTTTTCCCCACAAAGAGGGATGTCCCTTGAATCCTCCTGAGAGATCTTGATGATGCTTTCATGGAGGTACTGGGTAATCCTCTGCTGAAGGTTTCTAGGGATAGCAGCCTTATTTCTTTCCCACGCCAGTCAGCCATAACTTCAGCAGGCACCATACAGGCTAGTAGCATATGGGCCGGGGCAGCTTGGGGATGCCAGCAGCAGCTGTGCTCGCTGTGCCTTTGTTACCTTCAGGAATGAGATATCAGCTAAAATCACCATCACCTGTGGAAAATGGTGCCTGTATACTCCTATTTTTGCACAACCAAGCAATTCCCTCCTCATTTCCCTCACGTCTGGCAGGCCATGCTCACCATGGCGAAGCAGAAGTGTCAATACACGTGTCTTGTTCAGAATTCCCTTCCCTACAGTTTTAAACCTTAACTTTCACTTTCTGTTGTCACTTGACAATGGTACCTCTGTTTTATCTGCAGCTTCTGCCGTTGCAGCCTTCAGGGGTTCCTCCTCCACATCTACAGAATGCTTGAGCTAAATAAGGAGGAGAAAGAGGAGGACTCTGGATGACCTGTTCAGTAAGATCCTGCAACCAGTGCTTCATCACTGTGAACAAAGGGCCTGGAGGGTGAACATGACAGAGAGTCTGGAGGCGGAAAGATCAGTCTCAGCAGGAAGAGGAGAGGAAGATGCACCAGGACATAATGGGGCTTCTTTGGCAGCAAACACAGATGCTATGGGCTGTTGTGGACGTACAGGTTCAACTATCAGAGGCTCGCCTCCATTTGCAACCCATGGAGAACTCCACTACAGCACCTCCCTACATCCCCCTCTCAATATTCCACGTGGCATCAGGGGCGGCATCCCTACCACTCCACCCCCTGGCAGGACATTAAGGACAACCACAGCTTCATATATACAGACCTATGAAAGCCACGGTTGCTGTATGTGCAGGTAAACTGGACATGGATGTTTTTCCCCTTGTCAAGTTCTGTTCCATTAATATATTAATTGTTTCTTTTAAATTGCACAGATTTTTTTGTTGCACTGGTTTTGTTACTGAATAAAATTCTATTCATTTGGAAAATAATTCATCTTTATTAGTTCACAACATATGCTGCAGAGTGCCTAGCAGTTCAGAAAGTACCTATTTGTTACTGTACCACGTGACACAACTCAAAGGATCAGTGACACACACAGTGTGTGGGAATCATAATTTTGCAGTGCTTGTCAATGCATCTATTAAATGTACAACAGCACTACATTCACAGATGTACACCAACCAGTGCACAATTCCCAACAGGGCCCAAAACAGCAGTGCAATCGCCACTCACTTCTCCGCTGTCAGTGCAGCTCTCATTCTGGTGTCCCTGCGCTGCAGGGCTGAGACGAGCTCGGCACACAGATCCAGGAATGTGGCCTTCTACATCTGAAAGTTCTGCAGCCACAACTGTCCTTCCCAAGCTTGCATTACAATGTGATCCGGCCAGTCAGGGCTCGATTCTCAGGCCCAGACTCGGCGCTCCATCATCTGCAGTTGCTCCGCGAATGCCACCAACAACCTTGAATTGGTTCTTGCTGTGTCCCACAGCAATCTCTCCTCCAGGAAATCGACATGGTCAGTTCCTCTTACAGCTCTGCAAATACCGGAGGATCATGCATCCTGTACTTGCAACACTCATGACAATAATGCAGAGCTGTGCAGGGTACATTCTTTTGTCAGGGGTGGTGGACAGCAAGGAGGGCTATGTGGGTTATGGTATTTTTAGAAAAGGTATGAAAATTATGGGCTATAGATAACATTATGGGATGGAGACAGTTGCACACTGGGAAATTGACCCCTTGCTCCCAGTCACCACTGCATGGCTCGTTTCTGCCTCCACCATGCATTGCCAAAACTTCCCAAAAGACAGTGTACTGGATGGTGGCAGGTTGCCCACTGAGGTACCTACCCATGGTACACAGCACTGTGCATTGACACAAGCACTCCTGGTGAGTACGCAGGGCAGCGACGCAAGGAGCCCAGTATGCATACGCACAAATGATATTGTAACTGCGGTGGCTTTATGCTGATGTAACTTGTCAACCAAAGTCTGTAGTGTAGACATGGCCTCAGTTACACAACTGTAAATGTTTCTCTAATGTAGACAAGGCCTGGGGGCTTATCTACTCTTAAAATGTTACAGCGGTATAGCTTCAGTGCTGCAGCTGCGCCACGTTAGTGTAGACACTGCCTACACTGGTGTGAAGGGTTCTCCCGGTGGCGCAGGTAAATCACCTCCCTGCGAGGGGGTAGGTAGGCTGTCGGAAGAATTCTTCCATTGACTAGCACTTTCTAGGCCGTGGGTTAGGTTGGCATAGCTACATCTCTTAGGGGTTGTGGATTTTTCAGGCCTCTGAGAGCCGTAGCCATGCCATTGTAAGTGTTCTCTGTAGACCACCCCTCTGAAAGAAGCAGTCTGGTCTCTCACCACCTTGGAGTAACTGCCAAACTTTGTCTCTGGATGAAAATGTCCCCCTAACCAGGCTTAGAGGTACTCTATTGGCACAATATTAATGTGCACCCAAAGGCTGGCTGGAAGCAGTCCCCTACACACCCTGTCTCCCTGCCTCACCATCTTGCACCAGTTAGGACCCCATTATGCTAGGTGCTGTACAAACCCTTAGGGAGGCACCATCCGTGCTCCAAAGAACACATCACTTATGACAACAAGCAAGTTGAAAGATGTAGGGAGAAAGATGCAATCAAAAGAAGAGGATGTTTTTAAAAAAAAAAAATTTTCAACACTTTTTTTTCCCCCAACAAAAAATTGCTATAATTTCACAGAAATTTTTTTCCTTTAAAATGTTCTGATTTTTCTGTAAGAAACCCACATCTGAAACTTTATTTTTCAAAAACCTGAATTCATTGGCTCTTCCAAAATTTCCTAGGAAAAAGACACTTTTCAATCAGCTCTAATCAAAAGTTCTTGTATTTCGTGACTGAAGCAGGTGTTTCTTGGCATACTGTATCAGCTAGAAGGGGGGGGGGATCTCTGTACTTGAAAATTTAAATCTGCTTAATTTCCTATTTTCTACTGTAGCAGTAGCAATAGATGCTGGTCACAAGGCTCCTTTTTAAACTACTGCAGCAAGTTCACATACATATCAACTGGTTGTGCAGTCAGGAGAAGCTCTTCATTTACTACTAGAGACACAACAGATACAGTTGCAATAATGGACAGTCCCAGAAATGCTTCAACGCTGAACCCAAAAAGCCAATGGTTTTAAGCATGGCTGACTTCTGCTCTCAAAATTAACTCTGAAAATGGCATGTTGGCCTCCCTGTTCAGGGGGTGTCTGTGATTCCTAGATCATATGTGCTTAATTTACAAGGAAAAGGTTTCTTTGCTAAGCTAGCCCTGCACCCTCAGCCCTGAATCTCAAAAGCAAGTTGGGCTTTTTGTGGCTTGTGCATCCCAATCACAAATAAACATTCTGCAGTACAAATCATGCTGTTTCGTACACCTGTATCAACCCCACTGACCTTAATAGGGTTTGTACAGGTCTTACAGCCTTGCCTTTGTAACAAAATCAGTGCATATTGACCTCTACCATGTGACAGGGATGTAACCTTATATAAGCTGACCTATATCAGGTTACTTTTTCTTTTATTTGTGTCTGAATTAAACTAAATTTTTAGCAAAAATGGAGCAAATTAAGCCTCCTGAATCCCTGTCTAGAAGCAACAGTGGCAGAGAACTGGAGAAAGGTGACCGTAGCGTTTACACATTTTCCTGGAAGCAAGTGGTAACAAAGAGAGATCAGGGTTGTATTCCTTGCTCTAAATCTTGCAAATCACTTAGCCAGATTATGGAAAGATATTTAAGAGCCTAAGGAAGCAGTTGGGTGCCACGGTGCTTTTGAAAATCCCACTAGGCACCTATTTGCATCTTTAGACACCTAAATACCTTTATTAATCTGTCCCTTACTTTCTCTGTGCCTCGTTTCTCCCTCTGTGAAATTGGGATAAAACTTTCCTATTTCACCGGGGGGCTGTGAAGATGAACAAAGATTATTAGGCACTCAGGCCCAGATCCACGTTGAAATCAATGGAAATTAGGATCCTAACTACCTGTGGGGATCTGGGCCTCAGATAGTACAGTACTAGGGGCCATATAAGTGCTGGGTTAGACAGGAGAGGGTGAAAGGTGAAATTCCTCAAGACTGCTGCGTATGGTGTGCCCAGAGACGTCGTAGATCTACAGTACATTGCAGTAAAAGTCTTAAGGGGATTTCAGAATCCTAGACAGTCAGTGATCATGCAAGAATGTCCCTTGAGAAGACCAGCTGCCAGGTGAGACCACTGACCACGTTAAAGCTGCACCATAAAGCCAAGTAATTGAATGTGACTATTTATCAGATCAACTAACTGGAGACCGTATTATTTGTGGTGTAACACAGAATCAGGTTCAGTTAAAGATAATGCAAGAAATGGACATGACTGGGCAAAGAACAATGAATATTTTCAAGGTTGCTGAAAACTGCATCCCAAATTAATGTGCTAATAAGCAGTGAGGGAACTGAAATGAATAAATAAAAGAGTAGGATAAAAGGGTAAACAAATGAGAGGCCAGATTTGTGTGCACTAAATGTGGAGGCAATCAGAAACCCTTCCCGTTGTGCTCGAACACACTCCTGTACTGGTAAGACACTGATCTTTATTTCCTGGCTCCACGCGCATGATATGGGTCAGTGTTACAAAAGGTTATCCTTCTGTCACGTGGTCGAGGCCAGTGAGTATCCACTGACTCTCATGGCTACTGTAATATGAGTCCACTGGCTAATGTTACAGCTTCGTAATTGGAACTTAGCAATTTTGTTGATGAAAGGCGTGACGCAATAAGATCCAGATCACTATCTCATAGCTCTGTTAGCTTTACTGGGTTAAAAAGAGTGGACAGAAAGGAACACTTATTTTTACCACTAAAGGCAGCAGATATGACTTGGTTTACACGCAGATGGCAGACTTGTTGAGTAAGAAGAAGCTGTTTTTCCAGGCTCACATATCAGAGTAGAACTGTAATCTTTTAAAATTAAGCTATTTTACTGATCTTTTTTCTGTACCATGGTGCCCTAGATCTACGCACTCTCTCTAGATTCAAAGACGGTTATCACAGTGTGTAAGACAGGTAATGCGGGCCCCTCTGTACTAACTACTTTAGCCCATATGTTATGTCACTTTAAAAGATTGTAAAATTATCTTGTGAGTAATGAGTCTTTCATACTTCTATCAGGCCTGGTCTACACCTAAAATTCACATCCCTGAGAGACATAGTTAAGACGACCTAAGCTCCAGTGTAGATTCATCTGTAAATTTTTCCGTCGACCTAGCTACTGCCTCTCAAGGGTGGATATGTTCCAGCGGCATAGCTGCAGCTATGCTGCTCCTGTGCTTGTAGTGTATTCAGACCCTAAGGCTGTGTCTACATTACAAAATTATATTGACCTAACTTACATCGGCATACAGCCACTGCAGTTATTAAATTGCTTGTGTGGCTCCTTGTGTCAGCAGTGCACGTCCTCACCAGGAGTGTTTGTATTGTCAGTGGGGGGCATTGTGGGATGGCTCCTGAAAGCCAGTAACAGTCGACGTAAGCAATGCAGTGTCTGCCTAATTACATTGACCACGACTCTACGCCAGTCAGGGAGGCGGTGTTACTAAATTGGCATAGAGAGTCACTTATGTCGGTGGGACCCAAATTTAAGTGAAGACACTTCCACAGATAGGTTGTCATAAGCTGCCTTATATCGACCTAACCCTGTAGTGTGGACCAGGCCTAAGACTGAGGTCAGAGTTTACCATGGGGTTCCCACTTTTCTGCCAGATGTAATGATACAGAAACCATCTGCACTCTTAATTGGTGCTTTGCTGAGGTAATTGTTGCCTGAGTGTACCTGCATATGCTAATTTA